AGTAATAATGAATAATTAATAGCAATAAACTGTTTTAAATTGTCATGCAAATACAGTATATATTTGAAATCAGATCTTTATTATTTTTTGGCAATAATATGGTGTGGACGGATTTCTGCCAATCACAGGCTGTGTCACACCCCTCCAGCCTATGTCTATAATAATAGGGAAGTGATTCCTCCATCAATCAGGATGTAATGCAGCCCATACATGGGTCGAATCCCGAATGATTTTTCGTCCGAAAATCAAAAACGTCGTTCGCTTGGTAATCCGATGATGCCATCAAAGATTTCGAAAATCGGTCGAAAATCAAGTCATAAAGTTCACCCCATACAACAGGCAAAACTTCTGTTCCTTCCAGGTCACGGCTCATGCGCATATTCTTTTCGGAAAAACGATCGTACGATTTGACCATCATTGTGTTGAAAATCGGTCGTTTTTCATGAATTTTCCAACATGCCCAATCACCAAACAGGGAAGGAACCACGAAAATTGGCAGGTGCCATTGACCCACTAACAGAGCGAAAATCGGCCCATTATTCTTAGGTCTGATTTTCGGATGAAAAATCGGTCGAATTTCGACCCATGTATGGCCGGCATAATATCTCACCTCCATTGTTTTTAGCTGGTTAATGGGTATGGAGGAGGGGGGAGGGAATGGGCTGCCATTTACCACTGTGTATACATCCATATGGGTGACTCTATAGTCACAGGGGCTGTTCAGAAACTCACTGAAAACTGAGCATGTGCACTAGCTGCCAAAACTGCAAAATCCGCAACCGCACTGGGGACATGGATAGGATGGGGAGAAAGAAAACAGCAGGAACAACCAGGTATTTTGCAAAATCCCCAACTGCACTGGGGACATGTACAGGAGGAGGAGACAGAACACAGCAGGATCAACCAGGTCTTTTGCAAAATCCACAACCGCACTGGGGACATGGACAGGAGGGGGAGACAGAACACAGCAGGATCAACCAGGTTTTTTGCAAAATCCACAACTGCACTGGGGACATGGACAGGATGGGGAGAAAGAAAACAGCAGGAACAACCAGGTTTTTTGCAAAATCCCCAACTGCACTGGGGACATGGACAGGAGGGGGAGACAGAACACAGCAGGATCAACCAGGTTTTTTGCAAAATCCCCAACTGCACTGGGGACATGGACAGGAGGGGGAGACAGAAAACAGCAGGATCAACCAGGTTTTTTGCAGAATACATACAATTAATCCCATAGCGACTGAGAGATTATGAACAGCATGCATTACAGCTTGTATTGATTTTTAATTGTTTTTTTTTTATGATGTGGGTTTAGTGACATTTAAAGGGTTAGACATGGAGAATATACTGTATATGGCCAGCCTTACACTAGAAAATAAAAATTTTATATACATTTGGAAGAATTTAAAAGTTTTTTTGTCTTGCCAGAAATACAGCTGCCCTTTCCATCTCACGCCTCATATCCTGACTGGACGCAGGTTTTTTGGTGGCCAAGGCAATAGGGTGGAGATGGGGGTTACAGTCAAATCAGACAATATAAAGAGCTGTAATGATTTACAGAGTGCAATATGCCCCACCAGCCAATCACAATTTGCTGTAGTCAGGTCAAAAAATTATTGATTGGTTACTATAGTTTACTGGACGTTAGACATCATCACAGTTTACTACATTGTCTTACTAATTCTGCATGTGTCAGATGTCTGTGGCCCTGGAACAACACAAAGCTTCTACTGTGATATGAGGACACTGCTCATTGAAACACCCAGAACCATGACTCTAATTCTGCCTCTCTACTCTAGAAGGCATTTTACCAGAAGCACTACACAGATTAGTTGTCAAGTATAATTATTTTTCCAGGCAAATCTGCCTTTGGGGATTTCCAACAGAGTGCTAAAAAAGGTTGACGGCCTCCATTTTTCCTATCCGACATACATCAGGTTTATAGTCCGTATAATGTAGCACTGGTGGGTCAAAAGTCACACATATATTGGCAGTACTGAAAATATGCAGAAAACAGCAATTGTAAAGAAAAGGCTGTTTTATTTTTATTATTTTAGTTTTATTTAAAGCAGAATTTCAGCAAAAAAAACTCATAAAAATCACAAAGACAACTTTTGCAGCACTATTCATTCTGCAATTCAAAGATTTCCCTGCATTGTTTTGTTTCTGCCACTAGATGTCCTCAGTCCTGATGGCCAGCATCATTCAACCCACTTCCTCTGATCCTAGGTCACCCTGGACCCACCCCCAATATAAACTGGGCAATGAAAGGAGAAGCAGCACACTCATTCTATCGTGCTGATAGGAGTGCGCTGCTTCTCCTTTCATCATCAGCTGATAGGCTGCTTGTTCTGCTTCTTCCTATAACACTCTAGCTCTGCTGTACGGGAACTGCAAGGGGCTGTTACCAGGTCAAAATCAGGTTCTTACACTTTTTACAATTAAAAATACATGGAACTATAATGATTACAGAGCTGCACTCCTTGGAATCTTTTTTATTTTAAATGAGACTTCAGCTTTAACTATACAATGCCCTGTGTGTGTATGTTGTGTAAATAAGGACATCCACTGTATTAAAGTAAGCAAAAAATGTGTTCATTTTGGATAGAGAAATGGGGGGTTAGCCAAAAACAGGAAATGAGTGGAAATCAATCCAAAGAGAGGGAATACCCCTGGTTGTCACCAGGGTTGCCAGAACTAGAGTTCCCATTCGAAGATTTCCCCTCTACTCTTGTTCTGGTGATAGCCCACAATTTGGGATTTTCACGTTCACTCTCATAAACAGGAAAAATAGAGAGAGTGAATCTACCAGATGGGGACACAGATAGCAATAAAAACCTGACAGGTCTTCTAATTGCTCTAATCCATTGCAAGATAACCCCACTTATTCTCTTCTAGTGACAATAGTGACATTTTCAATTTACCAGTGCCGTTGTAAAAATTTTGTCTAGGATAAACATGGGTATTGTACAGGTTAAAGTTCTATTTACTTCAGTACACCGAGCACATAAAATGTAAGAACTTTTGGTTTGTCCAATATATATATATATATATATATATATATACACACACACACACACACATATACATACACACACACTGTATATACACTGTATATACCTAGCAGAAATAAAAAAATTTTATAATCAGAAATTTCTGAGCTGCTGGAACGCTTATTTAGTGCCAAAACCGAATAAATAAAAAAATAATATGCCTCTTCCCAAAAACCTATATATTTACCACTATGTGGATTGCCAACACTTAACACATACCCATACAAATGTGCTAAATAAATAAACAAATACCAAAACGTGCCATGCTCCACTATTACAAATACACTTTAATATATATGTGCTCAAATGACATCTAGTTCAGTCCTCTTATAAATTCCAAACAAAAAGTCCATACACAATTCTTTAAAATTCTTGTGTTCACTCTGAATGAATAAAGTGCTTCTTAATACAACTCCTGTGTTAAGATTCACTTTAAAATTCATGCACCCCCACCGGTTGTGCTCTCACCTCAAACATATGACCAAACCGCTAAGTGAGGTCATAAAAAGCCTGTGTCCCTTTAAGTGGACCAAATGTGGATGGAATGGTGTCCTGCTGGATGGGATCCCCTTCCACTCACTCTCTGTTGGCTCTCCTCCCATGGTGGATATGTTAAAAGATTAATCAAATAATAGTGCTTTATCCTTTAAAAACATTTATTGAGAAAAAGTAATACACTCGCATAATCAATGCACAGAAAATGCCTTGTGAGAAAATTGTAGCCTCTTGAACTATGGCAGGGATGATATACTAAGTATAATCAGGGGGAGATTTTTCCACTGATGAAGCCATATGACCAATGGCGTAACATGTAGGGGAGGGGCTCTGACGTCACGCCGCTCTAAGGTTCCATACTGACACCAGCTAGTTATACTTAGGATATCGTCCCTGCCATAGTTCAGGAGGCTACAATTTTCACAATTGAATTTTAAAGAATTGAATATGGACATTTTGTTTGAAATTTATAAGAGGACTGAACTAGATGTTATTGGAGCACGTATATATGATTTAAGTGTATTTGTAATAGTGGAGCGTGTGAAAATGTTGGTATTTATTTAGAAATAACATTATGACCACTGTCAGGTAAAGTGAATAACATTGATTATCTACTTACAATGCACTAGAAAGTGGATAGAATATATCAGGCAGCAAAGAAACATGTTGTTCCTGAAACTGATGTGTTAAAAAGCAGAAAAAAGGGCAAATGTAAGTATTTGAGGGATTTTGACAAGGGCCAAATTGTAATGGCTGGATGACTGGAACTGAGCAACTCCAAAACTGCACCTTTTGTGGGATAATCCTGGTCTGCAATGGTTGGGACCAACCAAAAGTGGTCCAAGGAAGGAAAACTGGTGAAGCAGTGACAGGCTCATGGGCGGCCAAAGCTCATTGATGTATGTGCAGAGCGAAGACTGGTCTGTGTAGTCAGATTCAATAGAAGAGCTCAACATTGCTGAAAAAATGAATGCTGGTTCTGATAGAAAGGTTTCAGAACACACAGTGCATCACAGTTGTTGTGTATGGGGGTGTGTAGCCGCATATCAGACAGGGTGTCCATGCTGATCATGTCCATAGCAAAAGCACCTACAATGGGCATGTGAACATCAGAAGAGCGATGGAAGAAGGTGGCCTGGTCTGATGAATTCAAGAATGGGGTGAGTGACACAACAACGAGATCGAGGTGTTGATTGGCCTCCAAATTCTCCAGATCTCAATCCAATATGTGGGATGTGCTGGAAAAACAAGCCTGATCCATGGAGGCTCCACCTCACAACTTACAGGACGTAATGGATCTGCTACTGACAGCTTGGTGCCAGATACCACAGCAAACCCTCAGAGGTCCAGTGGAGTCCATGCTGTCACAGGTTATGGTGGGTGGTCATAATGTTATGGCTGATTGGTGTATATGACCCTGCTGGAAATTATACATATTGGTGACATTATTACCTTGTAAAAATCCAGACTGAATCCTGCTTGGCAGTAACCTTGTCCCGCAGGGTCAGCATTACCTAAAAGAAAAGAGACTATTTGAGTTCCCACTACTAAAACATGTATATCTGTCCATACAGCACAAACTTTAACACAGCAATTTGGTCCTAAAGTCAAAAGTCAAGTTTTTTGTGTTTGGAAGGGTTAGAGTCCCTGTCAGGTTTTTCCTGAGTCTGTGTCCCTTTTGGGGGTCACTATAATAGGTATATCTAAATCACATACTATATAGTAGCAAACCTCAATGGTATCGGTTACCGCAGCAGCAACATGGATGACACTGTCCAGGAATGTTGACGCAAAGCAGAGGGCCTGAATGTTTCTCATCTCTTCTTGTCTCTGTGGAAATTCTAGTTGCCTGGCTTCCTCTGGCTTCAATTCCTTTCTTAGTCACTAACCTGGAGTCAGAATGAACCAGATTCCTGCATACTTGCTTAAAGTGAAAATACTGAAGCCACTGGATCAGCATGAAAGCCAAGAAAATAGCACTTTAAGAGGGAGAGGTCCACGGTGGCGGCCTCTATACATGTTCCCAGTACAGCTTTCCTCCTGACCTTTTATTCTAGTTTTGGATAGAGTGGGGGAAATATGTTTTTGATTACCTTTTTTGTCCCCTGTGGATTTCCTCTCATTTCCTGTCTCAGAGACACAGCAGGAAGTGAGAGAAAATGTCCTCAATGTGATGGGAAAGCTTGCTTCTGACAGTCGTCATTGGAATAGATGTCTCCACTACCTTTACTTCTGGTGACAAGTATAAATCTCCACTCAGCCGTAAATTTCACCTCTAAAACCGGCACTACCTGCCTGGAGTTTGCATGTTCTCCCTGTGCCTGCCTTGGTTTCCTCCGGGTGCTTTGGTTTCCTCCCACACTCCAAAGACATGCTGGTAGGTTAATTGGCTCCTATCTAAATTGGCCCTAGTATGTATATGTACGAATGTGAGTTAGGGACCTTCGGTTGTACACTCCTTGAGGGCAGGGTCTGTTGTTATAAAAAAAAAAAAGTATATATATATATACACACTCTCCGGCCACTTTATTAAGTACACTTTGCTAGTGCCAAGAAAATATCCCCCACACCATTACACCACCAGCCTGAACCACTGATACAAGGCGGGATGCATCCATGCTTTCATGTTGTTTACACCAAATACTGTCCATTCTCCTCTGATCTCTGACATCAACAAGGCATTTTCATCCACACAGCTGCTGCTCACTGGATATTTTCTCATTTTCAGACCAATCTCTGTAAACCTTAGAGATGGTTGTGTATGAAAATCCCAGTATATCAGCAGTTTTTTAAATACTCAGACCAGCCCGTCTGGCACCATCAACCATGCCACATTCAAAGTCACTTAAATCCTCTTTCTTCCCCATTCTGATGCTCGGTTTGAACTTCAGCAAGTCATCTTCACTAAGTCTAGATGCCTAAATGCATTGAGTTTCTGCCATGTGATTGGCTGATTAGCAATTTGTGTTACCAAGCAATTAAACAGATGTACCTAATAAAGTGCCCAGTGAGTGTATGTAAAGCGATGTGTAAACTGATGTCACTATATAAACACCTGTAATAAATAAATAAATACTTGTGCCCGGGTGACAATAGTCAACAGGACAGGAAGTGAGGGTAAATATACCCATTATAGACACACACAGTAACAGAAATAGAGGTTTTAAAGTGGTTGTAAACTTCAGACATGAAATCTAAACAAAGCATATCCCGTTATAGAATGTACTTGTCTCAATCCAGAGTACTAAGTATCATTTCTGTCCACTGCCCCATTCCTCTGCTATCAGCATGAGTCACTTCTGATGAGTTTTCCTGACACCAAGAGAAAAATTGTGATGGGGAGGGCACAGTCTGTGATTGAGAGCCTCAGCTGTGTTCATGTGTGCTGTGTGAGGGGGGGGGGTCTCTTCCCTCCAATCAGCTCTCAGAGCTCTCCTCAATGATGTATCTTCAGCTCCCCACCCCTTGCTTTTCAGAACTGAGAGATCCTGTGTAAATTCTGCACTTTGAATAGATGTGGGGGCGGAATGCTATAGATAAACAGGCACAACTTATGTAGGAGGATTTGTTTAATTTTTGTGTATCACCTGAAGCCAGTCACTTCACTGGGTATATATAAGGGTTTGTAACCTCTTTAACGCTTCTCTACTGAAAACTAAAGAAACAATTTTGGCTGAAGTCACACTTTAATTCTGTTTCTAGTAAATCTACCATCTTGTGCTGCAGAGCTTCTGAACGCACTTATGATTCTATAAGCAAAAATATGGTTCATTTTTTCAACGGAGAATTTTGCAATAGAGCAACGTGTAGCTAAGGATAGTTAAAATTTTAATCTTTTTTTTTTTTTTTCAATGCCAAGATGTAACATCTATTGGAGAAGAAGCCAATATAAGCTGCATCCTTGGAGCAGTGACTTTGTGTTCTAGTAAGTAATCCTTTGTAAATAATCATTAGATCTCACTGGAATTCCTACAGGAAATTCCCTCTGAAATATAAAAACAAATTCCTTGGATTTTAGGCATTTTTAGACCCAGGATGATACTGTTATAGCATGATCTTCTAGAAGCAGCTGATATTTCCCTTAGGGTGGCCATAGGCAGGAGGCTGAAGAGGAGCAGTGAGGCATCTTCCTGACTTTGAATGGTTTGTGAGCCAACAAGAGAGTCCAAGATGTTGATTTTCCCCAATCAGACTGCATACAGGGACACATATACAAGGCAAAGTAGGCAACTGCCTTGGGCTGCTTCAAGGTGCTTCTCTCTAGGTCCTCCAGTACCGGGCAGCAAAATCAGAAGTAGAGGGATGGAGGCAGAGAGGGGACCCTGAGCACTTTGTGTGAATAAAAAAAAAAAGTTTTCCCCAGCCAAGTCGACTTTTTAATAATTTTCTAGTGCAGGTGAAGTAATGTCCTGCACTACATTTCCCAATAGTTAAAACAGAGTGAAAGTTTAACTTTCACGTAAACCAATTCATTTACACGTATTGGGATTTGTTTTAGCAAAGACATGTAGCAGAATACATTTTGAACTAAATTTGATTTTTAAATTTTTTTTACTGGACATGTTTTATAGCAAAAAGTCACAAATATAGTTTTTTTTTCAAAACTGTTTTTTGCTTATAGCAGAAAAAATAAAAACCGCAGAGGCAAACAAATACCCCTGAAAGAAAGCTCTACTTATGGGAAAAAAAGGACATACACGAAAAAATAGGACATTTCCTTGCTTGTCTCCAGGACTTCTCCAGAGCCTCCCCCATTCTCTGGAACTCTCTACCCCAATCTATCATACTATCACCTACTCTTCCCACTTTTAGGTGATCTCTGAAAACCTATCTCTTCAGGGAAGCCTATCCTGCCTTCAGCTAATAATGGAATCTTCTATTCCTTCTACCAGTCTATCTCCCACAGTTATTACCTTTTGTACCCCCAGCCCCTCCCTCTTAGATTGTAAGCTCCAAGGAGCAGGGCCCTCCTAACCCTCTTGTATTGAACTGTATTGTTGCTGTATTGTCTCCCATTTTATTGTAAAGCGCTGAGCAAACTGTTGGCACTATATTAATACTGTATAATAATAATATAAATTTAATATGGGTGCAGCGCTGCATGACCGTGCAATTGTCCATTAAATGAACGCAGCTCCGTATCACAAAAAATGGCCTAATCAGGAGGGGGGTGGGGGAAATCCTCTGGAGGGCAAGTGGTTCATTTACCTAGCTGCACTGGGGGTTATTTACTAAAACTGGAGTGCAAAATCTGATGCAATTGTGTAAAGAAACCAATCAGCTTCTAGGTTTTAATTGGGCAAGCTGAAGTTAGAAGCTGATTGCCTACCATACACAGCTGCACCAAATTCTGGGTTCTCCAGTTTTAGTGAATCTCACCCACTAAGGCTGGCCATACATTATACAATTCTCTGGAGATTTTTGGTTTAGATTTACCAAAAACCATATAATAGGAGTACAAACCTAAACAACACTTTCAGTTGTATCCAATTAGGCAGGCCCTTGCACTACACAGCTGAGAGTAAATCTAAAGGAAATTGGGCAGAAAATAGGAAGATAATTGTATAATGTATGGCCAGCCTAAGTAGTTGCTACAATATATACAGTTTTGCATGTCAAAATTGCAAAACTAAGCTCCGGTGTTAGGATTTGTTTTACACTCCATCACAGGGGCGGACTGACAACTCATGGGGCCCCCGGGCAATAGGGGATCATGGGGCCCCTGTGTCCTTGCCCAAACTCAAAAAAGCCTATAAAAAAGGTACCAGGGCATTTCATGGGGCCCCCTACTGACCCCGGGCCCTCAGGCAGTGCCCAAGTGCTGGAATGGTCAGTCCGCCCCTGCTCCATCATGAAAGGGTTAACAGGCCACAAAGGAACAAATAACAGAAGTGAATGGTTAGGGTTTACATACACCTTAACAGTAAGATGTTCATTTGCTGGACTTACGGTTGCGACAAGGTGAATATTCTGCGTATGAGCTGAAATTCTGAATGGCAATGTAGCAGGTCCCCACCGGGTCCCGTTCACTGATTTCTTTTACACTTCTCCAGTGGTATAAAGGTGCGCAGGCCTAGACACAGGAAGACAGACGTTATAGGGAGACTGTAAGGTTTCTAAATCCATTCCATGTACAGGACAACACTGAAACCAGCACCACAGTGTCTGCAGACCAGGGTTCATATAAATATATAAAATACATATCATACCCACCATAACAAACCCCATATACTGTAAATGTATGCACCAAAAATATATTCAAAATAATGGAAATATTTAGTATTACAAAACACAATCAATATGTATATAACACAGATATAGTAAAGAAGCATCCAAATATAATACACAAGACAAAATCACTTAGAAATACCTTAAGTCTAGGTCCACACCTATGCAGTTTGCATTTGATCCGTTTCTGTAGTGCTTTTTGCACTGCGTTGTGCTTTTTTGCAAATGCGTTTTTGATGCATTTTGCAGGGTTTTTTTTCTTGTTGCTAGGCAGATTAAAATGCATAAAAAACGCAGCAAAAAAGCACTACATGCTTTTCTGCAGCATCTCCATGGAAGTCTATAGAACCCAAAATGCAACTTTTGCATTTAAAAAAGTCCCTGACCCTTTCCAAAAAATGCACTGGGTGAAAATACGGAGATGTGAACGTGTCCAATAGGAAATCATGTTAAATGGACTGTAGTGCGTTTCTGCAAAACGTTGAATCAGGTGTGAACCTAGTGTAAGCCCTAAAAACATACCACCAGTCCTTCGTAACAATACATGCTGTGTACAGTTACTAGGGAACTCCTAGTAGGGAACGGCTCTCCCCTACTTAACTGGTTGTTTTCTCACAGAGGATCATATCAAAAACAAACAGAGATTCTCCATAGTGTAAATCAGTATTTTAATACTCCAATATAAAAAAATTACCCACTCACATGTAGAACAGCATAATCCAGCTTTTACCCATACTATGGATGTATGTGCATGGTTCTGGGTGATCCAAAATGGCCCCCACGCCAGAACTGATGTCATCGCGCACCAGAAGTCCTGTCACTGCGTACCGACGCGTTGCGTCATAATAACCACGTGACTTCTTCAGGGTAATTTTTTTATATTGGAGTATTAAAATACTGATTTACACTATGGAGGATCTCTGTTTGTTTTTGATATGATCCTCAGTGAGAGAACAACCAGTTAAGTACCATGGGATTGGAGAACTAAAGAGGATTACTGATCTGTGGGAATATCCAGGAGGGTCCATCTGGTGGTGGCGAGGATATCCCTGTGAAAGTGTGGCTTACCCTTAAAAAGCGAGCTGGCCCTTACGGTCATTGTAAGGAGGTGAGGGGGCATTTTGGGCTATTTTTGGATTCGGCACTGGATTCACTTCACGTTGGGCTGAGTTTACACGTGATTTATTTTTGTGGAGCACCATTCAATATTATAAGTGCAGCGTGTGGACTTGGAGTGGACATTTATTTTCACTGAGTGTGGTTTGTACACTTGCACTATGTTTTTTATGTTCACATTTTATTGATCCCCTAAGTTGAGGGAATCATCCTTTATTTATGTATTGTAGTGTTTGCACTTTTTATAACACTTATATATTTATAATTTATTTTTGTATACACGGTTTAATGAGTGGTATTCATTTATTATTATGATACACATGTTAGTATTTATTTAGCGCTACACCAATTTTATTTATTCATCTATTAAATACACACTTTGCTCAACATGCATTCTGGCACACTCTGGCTGTGCTGGAATGACTGACTCCCGAGTACATGTGCAGGATGACGTCATACCCACCAGCCAATTAGAAAGCAAAAAACCCGGCACCCGGACATAGCAGATGGCAGTGGCTGGTGAGGGATATTACCATCACTGGAAGATGGAGGTGTGCATTTATGGAGTTTTATTCCACTTTAAATGAAGGCAAAACTTTTGTTTTAGCAGTCTGTGTCCCTGGTAGGGAGATTTACCCTCTCTGTTTGTCCTGCTGATCAATATCACGAGCAGTGAAAGTAAAAGAAAGTCCCAAATTTTGAGTGATCATCACAATAGAAATAGAGCCAGTGGTAACCCTGGTGACTACAAGGGATCTCCCTCACTTTGGAGTGATTTTCTCTCATATCCTGTTGCGACTATGGGACAGGAAGTGAAGGGAAATCCCCAGATATAAAAAGAAAACTTCAGTTACTCTATCCAAAGGTTTCATCATCATTATTATTATTATTACAGGTACTTATATAGCGCTGACAATTTATGTAGCACTTTATTTTACATTAACATCTGTCCCTGCCCTCAAAGTCCCTAACTTGCACATACTAGGGCCAATTTAGACAGGAGCCAATTAACCTATTAGCATGTCACTAGAGTGTGGGAGGAAACCAGAATACCTGGAGGAAACTCAGGGAGAACATGCAAACTCCAATCAGGTAGTGAGGTGGTTTGGATTCAAACTGATGACCCTAGTGCTGCCAGGCGGAAATGCTAACCACTTAGGCTGGCCATACACTATACAATTTTCTTACACTTTTCTCTCCAATTTCTGCCCAATTTCTTTTACATGTACTTTCAACTATGTACTGCAAGGGCCTGCCTGATTGGATACAATTAAAAGTGTTGTTTAGGTTTGACCTCATATTATATGGTTTTTGGTAAATCTAAAGCGAAATTCTCAAGAAAATTGTATAATGTATGACCAGCCTTAGGCTGGCCATACACTATACAATTTTCTAACAATTTTCTGTCCAATTTCCTTTAGATTTACCTTCAATTATGTAGCACAAGGGCCTGCCTGATTGGATACAATTAAAAGTGTTGATTAGGTTTTGATTGCATATTATATGGTTTTTGGTAAATCTAAAGCAAAATTCTCGAGAAAATTGTATAATGTATGGCCAGCCTTAGGCAAAAGTTTTACTTTCAGTTCTACTTTCAAATATGGTAAAAATACACTATTAGTCCTCATGCACACGGGGAATTTTGATAACGGTGGTAACGTTAACTGTGTAAAGTCACGTTAAAAAATGTGAGTTTTTTTCCATTAGCATTTTGCCGCGATTAGAAGCGTTTTCCCATGTTTTTCTGCGTTTGCATTTTTAGCATTTTTCCCCTGCCCCAAAAAAAGGGGGTTCAAGAAAAGTCCAAAAACGTCGGTTTGCTGCGGCTTACCGCATTTTACAATGTTTTTCAGCGTTAGAGCGTTTTTACAGCTAAAAGACTCCTCTAGAAATCCACTAGTCCTGGTATTTTTTTTCCAGCCAAAAAACATTGATTACAGTCTGTGTGCGCATGAACACATAGGATAACATGCTGGGGGGTTTACTGGCTGTAGAAAAAAATGTCAAAAGCCAAAAACAGCTGCTATAAAAACGTCCCGTGTGCATGAGGATTAATGCAGGCCATAGATGGGTCGAAAATCGGCCGATTTTTCGGCCGAAAATAAAATCGGACGATTTTCAGATCGTTAGTGGGTTAATTGTTCGGCCATTTTTTGGTATTTTGGCAGATTTTTTTTATCGGTAATGTTGGAAAAAGATCGGCTGATTTTGACGATCGGCCGATTTTCGCGGCAATTATGGGCAAATCGGCCGATCTTTTTACCAATAAAAAATCTGCGCATGAGCAGTGACCTGCAAGAGGAAGACAAAAAGAAGAAGAAAAGAAGAAGAGGATGAAGAAGAAGAAGAAGAGGATGAAGAAGAAGAGGGTGAAGAAGATGAAGAAGAGGATGAAGAAGAGGATGAAGAAGAAGAGGATGAAGAAGAGCATGAAGAGGATGAAGAAGAGGATGAAGAAGAGGAGGAAGAAGAGGAGGAAGAAGAGGAGGAAGAAGAGGAGGAAGAAGAGGAAGAAGAAGAAGAGGATGAAGAAGACGAGGAAGAAGAAGAAGAGGATGAAGAGGATGAAGAAGAGGAGGATGAAGAAGAAGAAGAGGAAGAAGGAGAGATAGAAGAAGATGATGAAGAAGAAGAATTCCAGTACTGCAAAAAGTGTCCCTGCAGAGAGCTCCGCTATTTCTTTGACCGTTCCTTGACATTTATAGCGCTTGCAACAATGTATCTATTTGTTTCCGAATAAAAACATCTGTATCCGAAATGGATACAAATAGATACATACGTTGCAAGCGCTATAAATGTCAAGGAACGGTCAAAGAAATAGCGGAGCTCTCTGCAGGGACACTTTTTGCCGGCTGTAGACAGGATGAAAATCGGCCGATTTTTTTTACCGTTCCTGGTAACGTTGGCCGCTTGAACGACCGATTTTTCATTTTTTTAAAGAAAAATCGTCCGGTTTTTTCCCCATCTATGGCCTGCATTAGAGTCAATCCAATATTGTGTTTTAGCAGAGGGTCCTTTATTTGATTCTAGGACTCACATCATAACCTACACAGTTATATTATTTTGTAAAGTCAAGAGCAACCTAGGTGTCTTTTCTTGTCATGGCACAATGAGTTGCTGTTAGATCATTTCCATCAGCAAGGTTTACACAGGAACGTGATAAAATGTATCTAAAAACACAACAGTTTGAAAATATCCAAAACTCAAACTATTTGCCACAGATGTCAGATTCCATTCACCCTTCTGAGCTTTAGATAACAAACAGCTCTGTTTTCTAGCAACACAAAAATCACCAAAATATCATAAGAGGAAACTTCTGAAGAGATGGCACTTCTCCTACAATCCGAATTTGCAAAGATGACATCAACGTGCGCGGCTGATGAGAGAACCTACTAACCGCCACTCTCCATCCTTCCTGCAACTCAAATACAAGTCCAAGCAACTAAAAAGAACCCAACTGCATCTGGGTTTCTGAGTCTGATGGCCAAAAGGGACAGAGATTACACCAATGCATTCTACTGATTAGTCCTGTGCTTGATCAGCCCTAAGAGCAATCAACCGTCTTCAAATGTCCTTAACAGTTCATGTGGGATTGCAGACCGCACCCCACCCCCCCAACCAGAACATTCCCCAAATACGACCAATTAAAGAAAAGAAACCATTAGGCAGATCATGGTGAGAAATGGCCGCGGCACTTTACTGGTGTTACACAAATAAACCATGTACATA